TCCAGTGTTATTTTATTATAAAGAACAATATAAAAATTATTATATTGAAGATTATTATAAGAACAGTGTTATTTTATTATAAAGAACAATATCACATTTAACAAATTTAAAATTATCATAAGAACTTTTACAACTAATATATTTAAAACTATTTTCAGAACTTAAAAACCTAAAACGATTATTATAGATTTAATAATACTCACATTGCTTTCACAAATCAAATTATGTTAAGTTTTTACAATAGCCTTAAACAGCCTTAAATTTAAATGATTTTTAATGTTGATTGTTCTTTAATGAGGGCTTTTTTAAAAAAGGAAGCATTATCGCTTCTATAATTTTACTAAGTGCTTAGGTATTTCTTGATACCAAAATTGATATCTAGTTTTATGATTGCTATATATATATATATATATATATATATATATATATATATATATATATATATATATATATATATATATATATATATATATATATATATATATATATGCAACTTTAAACCTTACACTATGGTAATTCTTTGATTGCTTGTTTTTAACTTTCACAGCAACATGTGATAGGTTTTACTGATTTATGTGATTTTATGATTATAAAGTTGAGGAAGTATGTGTACCTAGGGCTACCCCACTTAAAAAAACTGTAAAGTTCAAAGTAATGCTTTTCAGAGAAGTGATTAGCTATAAAAATATTTATTTTTGAATCCTATTTTGATTTTCAGAGAGCGATGTATAGTAAGTTATAATTAGAAAATGCTTTTTGATGGTCTAAAGTAGGTTTTTATTGGTGGTATCTTAAACTGTTTTACAATCCTAGAGAAAATGCTTTTCTACAAACTCTTGTATTTTATATTGTTTATTACTTAAGTACTAAATGCAATGTTCAATATGTTTCCTCTCAACTGGGGTCCATTAATAGATGAAATTTTTTGTAAGGTCCTCACTTTTGAATTTGGGAGCCCCCCAAATATAGTCGGCAGTGTTGAAAACAGTCCAGAATAGCTCCTGATATATATATTTTATATATATTTTGTAATAAAAATATTTTTATTACAAAAGCATAAAATATTTTTTCTATAAAAGTTTTTGATGTTTAGGATTCACGGGCATAAGATGTATGCATAAGAGTAACACATTAAGACTTCCAACACTGCAAGTGTTGTGGAAGGTTTGGATCAAATACATTTCATCAAATACATTATTGTAATTTTTTTTTTAACATCACCACTTCCAACAACTCTAATAGTGGTTGCTTGCAGCCAACCACTATTAGAGTTGAAAGTGACTGATGAAAGTTACTTAGAGAAAAGATGAAGTAGATAGAGATTAGATTTTATAGAAAATGATCTTATAGGCAATTAATTGCTTATCTTTCTCTTTTCTACAAATACTATCATAGTCATTGCTAGAAAGAGCTATCATCTCTAATTCCATCAACTAAAACTCCTTATCGCTTGACTCGTCATTCATTTAAGTCTAATTCTTTTACTGTTCCTGCATGCTCCAAAAACTTTTATTAAGAGCAAGATTATGATTGATAGATGATTTAGAAGCAAATTCAACAAAACAAGTCAGGAAAACAAGATAAAGGAAGCAAATTCAACAAAACAAGTCAGGAAAACAAGATAAAGGAAGCAAATTCCAAAGAATTAATATTTGAGGAAAAAAACTACATGAATAAGAGTTTCTGGAGCAGTTGTGAACATTCATAGAAAAAGGATGACTTAATTGAATGACGGGTAACACAAAAATGAATGGAGAAGAGTAAGACAATTTGGAATTGAGAGAATAAAAGATTCCATGCCAGCCTGAATCCAAGAAGTTATGTAAAAAACAAATTTGTCAGCAGGAAGACGAAAGATGTCTACCTAAGGGCCATAACGAAGAAAATCATGAAAAGAGTCCCAGTCAGCTCTAATATAGTTGTAAGAGGTATGATGATAGGGGGATTCTGATGATGAAAACGAAAGAGATAATAGTTTTAGAGAGATTAAACATGCACCTAAGGATGAATGTGGAAAAACTGAGCACTGACTAGGATCAGAAACAAAACATAAGTCTAGTAGAGAAGGTAAATGATTCGGGTAGCACATTAAAGAGTAGTCTGTGGATTCAAACTTAGTTTCCCAACATTGGAGTCTTTACGAATTAAAGGAAGATAATCGTCAACACTAAGATTACAAGATGAGAAAGCCAAACTCAAATTAGTCTTACAAAGAGTAAGTATTTCTGGTTAATTTTGCAAGAGATAAGATTCAACAGAAGAAAAGTTACTTCGATAACCACAAATATCAGTGAATGATAGATTTAGAGAACTGGGTGATGATTATGGTTTTTGAAGTTTTATAGCGTTCAGTACTTTAGACATTAAATTTGTTAAAGAACTTGACTTTAAGCACAGATAGTACTCAATAAACTATTTAATAGCCTAAACAATTGCCTCATTACTATTAATAAACCCTAATCCGTAACAAAGGGCTCCAAATTTGGCCTTGAAAATGCACAATGGCAAAGTACGAACAGGGACATCACCCATGCACAACATGGCACTCTTAGTACTCTGATATTTTACAACTGTTTATGGAATCAACCTCTATGAGAGCTACCAAAGAGCTCAGGAAACCTGATTATCAGCCGGCTATAGAAAACTGAGTTTTAGAGCTGTGTTTTCATAAGGAGATAATAGAATGAGTCGCCTAGTCATAAAACAGAGTTATAAGCAAAACCCATGAGCCAAGAAGATCCTGAATTCGTCATTCTTAAACAGAAAACAGTGTATAAATACATCTGCATCAGCCTAATAGATACAGAAGGGGTGCGAGACTGGTTAAAAGAATCTGTTTACCCCTTAAGTCTTTGCCTAGGAGGCCTTCTACAAGACAGTAGCCGGGTGCAAATAAGTAAATTCTAGATTTTCAAATACAAATTCAAACTCAAATATATATGCAATCAGCATTTTCCAAATACAAATATAAATGTTTGTACTTTAAGTAAAGAAAAATTACAAAGTTTTTTTTAAGACAAGACTGATAAAATGGCATATTAAACAGAAAAATGAAAACAAGTCTTCTAAGAATTGTCTCTTCAAAACAACTTCTTATTTTAGCGTTATAAATAATAATAATAAAAAAAAACACAACAAACCTGAGTTTTTTCTAAAAAAAATACAGATTAACCTAGTTTACGGAATCGAAAAACTTTTCAATCAAATACAAAGACAATTATTCAAGAAGTTTTTCAATCAAATGCAATACAAATAGAAATATGTTCCCTTAGCCTATTTTTACCAAATACAAATAAAAATACAAACAGTATTGGACAAAACATTTGCAACCAACATCGAACAATGCTAAAAAGTGTTCCTAATTTTACATGTCTTAAAAACGAAACGAACTATACTACCACAGCAAACAGTTCAGGAGTCTGGAGTCATAGCATGCCATGACATGAGCAATCAGCTGACAGGTGACAGCACACAGGCAGAATTTCATTGACAAGTGCCATTTTGCAGCAGACAAAACAAGTGCAACTTTTTTGGTTTGTTTCATTTTCTTAAGTCTGGTCCATGTCAATGTCACGGAAGTTTTATTTTAATTATTTTATAATAATTAAAGAAAGTATCCAGAAAACATTCAGAAGCATCTAGACGCTTCCAGAAGCATTGAAAAGAAACATCTAGAATCTAGAACAGGTTCACACAGGTTCATTTTACTATATAAGAGACATGTAAACCGACATGTAATTAAATCAGTATATGGAAGTCAATCAGTCAGTATTATCAAGACAGTTTATCGAAGTGAGTTTTATCAAAGAACATCAATTCAAGAAGTGAAATACAACAAGTGTTTCATTACATCAATACAGTCCACATCCAACCAAGACGTTGTGTTCCACAGAGCATTATTGTATTATTACAAGGTAAATGTAACAAGGTAAGCCTTAAGAAGCGTGATTATTTATTTTTATTACTTCAAGTGCAAAAATCATAAAAGTAATCATCATATTCAAAGTATGATTTGATAAGGTATGCATTCAGATATATATTTTTTATTATATTTGATAAATATCTGGTAAATGAAAATAAACCTAAAATCTTTCCTAATTTTATAATTTAATTTATTTTTAAAGAAGAAAAAGTATCAAGTTAATCCAATTTTCAAAACTGAGGCAACCATCATTAACATCAAAATATTTTAAATTTGCCATAGATATCTAGACTTAAAATTGCCATAGATATCTAGACTTACATCATCATAAGCACCTGAAAAAGTTAAAGTTAAACTCTTGTTAAACTTGTTAAAGGTTTAACTCTTGGTGTTTTGATTGACATAAAGCTAGGCCATTAAATGATTTTAAGAAAATACTGTAAATTGCAGTGTGTGGTAAAATTAGCATTAAGAAATTAAATGAAAAAATTAAATTAAAACAAAATGGGTGATTTATAAAATTGTAGGACAGAGAACTAATATTTTATTTTTTTTATTATAAATATTGGCAGCCTGTACTTGGCTTATCTTCCCTTATAAAGTCAATTCAAAATAACTTTCTATTACAAACTAGTTCAAAGTTTACTTCAATAGCAAATCCAAGAAGAACTTATATATTTAATACTTAGATTACAATTATTACAGCAAATAAAACTTTTTTTTTGAAATAATATTTAAGATCATTTTATTTAAGCTAGATTGACCAACTTTATTTTATTTCACAGGACCTTCTAGTCTATGTTAGTTTACAAAAATTAACATAACTATCAAAAAAATAATAATACTTAAAAAAAAAACTAAAATTCATTGAAATTACAATCGATTTTAGTTACATATTTAATTCAAATACAACTAATCAAGAATAAAAAAGTCTTATTGTTAATTGCTAAACCCAAACTAATTAAATTGCTAAACCCAAACTAAATAAATTGATAAACCCAAACTAATTAAATTGCTAAACCCAAACAGTTAACTTTTTCAAAAATCAACTAAGATTATATTAACATAGTTAACATACTTGTTCTCTTTGGTAAATATTGTCATCTGCTTCTTCATCATCGGCATCAGCAAGCTCAGGTTTAAACATAAAAACTTCTTTACCACTAACCTAATAAAAAAAAAATTATTTTAACTTACTCTAAATAAGGCTAAAAGCAACCACTATGAGATAACTGAAAAAATAACAGAAAGCAAAAAAGAGAGTTAAAGAAAACAGAAAAGACTTCAAAAACTATTAACTAAATGAGTCAAGAAAGCATAAAGGCAAAAGAGAACTCTAAAACATTGATGTTGGAGGAAAAAACTATATAAATAAAGTTTTTTGAGATGAAGAAACAGTTGTAGTAAGTAAATGCAACTTTGCTGAATGATGAGTCAATTTTTAAAAAAATTATTACAAAAGTATATAAAAATTTACCAGCCACTACAAACTCTACATATATATATATATATATATATATATATATATATATATATATATATATATATATATATATATATATATATATATATATATATATATATATATATATATATATATATATATATATATATATATATATATATATATATAAACACACAAAATGAAAAGAGTTGGCGCAGATACACAATATGAAGAGAGTTTGTGCAGACTAACATGCCAGCCTTCATCAAAAACCTTCATGTCAAGGCTAATAGTTCTTATCTCACCGCTATTTTTTAATGTACAATAAAAACTTTCTGACATAAGTTTGTGAATCAAAAGATATTAGCAACAAATACTTACGCCAGAAAAAGATATTAGCAACAAAAACTAAAAACAGCAGAAATTGAACTTTAAAAATAATTTTAAAGATTAAATTAAAATGTGAAGCTTTGAAAATTAGATTAAAAAATTTTTGAAAAGTTAATATAAAGACCATGAATATTTGTACTTTAAAGACCATGAATTTTTGTACTTTGAAGATCACGAATATTTGTACTTTAAAGACAAAGATTATTTCAGGCTTGGTTGGGAAGCAAGAGCAATCAATCTCCATTACTGACCACAGAAATAATATTTATTTGCCAAAAACTGGAAGATTTTTTAGTTGTTTTGAGAACATTTCAAAAAACATAACAAAAAAGTGCAAAAAAGATTAACTGGACCGATGAGATAATTACAAAAAAATATATATATATATCAAAAGAAAATAAATTTAATGCAAAAAAACTTAAAGCAAAATAAATTACATTTAGAACAAATATTTTCAAAAAATTGCTCTTTTATAATTTTTTTTTACGAAATTAAGTGAGATTTTTTATATTAAGTAACATCTTACGATTGCTTAATAAGGAAACAAAATTTTATTTATCAAAGAGTATATTATAATTTTTATTTATATACTTGTGTCTTATTTCCAAAATAAAAATAGCCCCTAGCCCCAAAAAGTCCAAAAAGATTCTAATAAAAATAACGCTAGTTTTAGTTATATTTAAGCTAAATTATTTATTAAATATTTAAAACAACTCTTCTTAGTAAGATAAACAAATGAAATAATTAAATTGAGTTACTGTAGAAATTAAATTAACTAGATAGAAATGAACTAAAAAGGTTAAAAATACTTTATGAAGAGGAAGCGAAATTGCTTCACAATACCGCTGATGATGTTTAGTAAGTGGGACTTTTAATTTTAATTAGTAATTAAAACAGAAAAAAGTAACTTCAAGTTTAAATATAACGAGTTTACAACTGAAGTGAAAACAATTGGAGTTAGTAAACCAATATCTAAGAACTTAAAAACTTTTCTTTCTTGGGGAAAAGAATCAGTTATAGGGTACATGGAAGAAAATGGATTAGTTGTTAAAATATGGAATAAGATTTGTGCAAGGCACAAAACAGCTATATTAAAAGATCCTTTAGACCACTTTATGTATGTAATTATGTTTGTGTTTTGTTGTGTATACTTTTGTTTCGTCCATGTATGTTTGTGTTTTCCCCGCTTCTGGCAGAGTGCTGATCCACTCATAAATCACTTTATGTATGTAATTATGCTTGTGTAGTTAAACAATATTTTCTAATGTTGAATATAGCTCCTTAATTTTTTAGTTTTGCTGAGCTCTCTCCTTATGGGATGCGTCATTGCTGTTTGCCGTAGTTTGTGCACAACAAAACAGTTTTCTAGTTTTATTGCTAAAATATAATCTCATAAAATCATTACACTACTGAAGAGTCTTAAGGTGGTTGCCCATGAAATAAATCTTGATTTTTTTTTGAATTTTTTTTTTTATTATTATTAATGTTTTTTATGAGCAGAATTTTATCCTCTTTAAAATGGTATATGAATCTCCATAATTTATATAAAGTCTTTTATTTCTCAATTTTATATAGTGTTATATCAGGTTTTTCTTTACATTTTTGTTTTTTATCATTTGTTTTTTCAGTCAACTTCAATTGAAGTTGACTGAAAAAACAATCAACTCAATGCAAACCTATTATGGAAAAGCTATAAGTAACAACTTGAACAATGTTTATGTCATGAAAAAAGTAATCGGCTCGGTGTTGTTTCACTGTACTGCGTTTACTGATGAGAACCAACGACATGGCATGTGTCCACACGATGACACTTCTTGGTGCAAATGGCAGTTAGATAAGACTAATAAGACTAAAACATTGAACAACACCATAAGTTTACCAATGTCCATTCATTACCTTTTTTAAACCGATCTTTGAGAGTTTGTCAGACGACTCAGCTATTTTATATTATAATGATGAGAGTTGCAGGGCGGATGCAGTTTTAGGACATTTTGGTCTACATGGAAAGGCAAAAGCTGAAAAATCTATTGCACAAGATCGCCAACGTGTTACTAGAATGAAAAAGCGATAGAGTACAATCGTTAAAAAACAAAGAAAAAAACTAAAAGCAGTCAAAAAAGTACATGGATAAGAGAATGAAATTGAAAAGTGTGAAACTTACGCTTCCGGTGGTTTTTAACATCTTTTTCTTATTATTTTAGACAAAAACTTGATTTTCTCATGTTTATGGTTTTACATAATTTTTAAAACTTTAAAACATATGTTTTAAAAGATTGAATGAATGAAATAATTTGAAATTTTCAGGAAATACTCATATATTATATATAACCCATACATCATAGGTTTTTTTTTAAATGAGGTAAATAACTTCTTAATTTGCAAAGTTTATACAAATAATACTATTTTGAACAATCTTTTTACTAAAAGAGACATAAATTTAGGCTGAGTGAGTCAATCAAAAAATTGATATGTCAAATGGATTTTTCTATCATCTTGAAGCTATGTTGAAAATTTGAAGTAGTAACTATCTTCATATCAGCAGATATTGTGTTTTAAAAATATTGAGTTTTTTTTGTCTCATTTTAGCGATAAAATAGGGTAATCAAGGCAAAAAAATAGTTTGGTGTGATTGAAATATTTTTTAAGTTGAGACCAGCCATATATACTAAAATTTGGTTAATTAAATTCACAGGGTCAAAATAAAGTTTATTCCTGGGCAACCCCCTTAATACAAGGGGGATGGGAATAAAAGGGTGGGTGGAAATTTTAGTCCAGATCTAAAAAATGATGAGGTGGGAAAATTTTCTAAAAATGAACTAAAAAACATCTGCCCCACACACTTCTATTAAGTACTCAAGACTATATTTATACATACATACATACATATATACATACATACATACATACATACATATATATATATATATATATATATATATATATATATATATATATATATATATATATATATATATATATATATATATATATATATATATATATATATATATATATATATATATATATATATATATATATATATATATATATATATATATATATATATATATATATACACTAGTGATCAAAAGTTTAGACTCAGAAAAAAAATCTCTTAAGCTTAGCTCTGAAAATGCTAAAAAAAATTTATTAAGATAATGCTTGAAATTTTTTTTTTTAATTCAACTTATTTAGTTTGTTTCTAACATAATTACAAAAAACACACACCTTTTATTTTATATATTGGTCTTTTTTTTTATTTTATAATAATAGCGCTATTTAAAAACAAATAAAATGTGTCTCATAAATTTAGACTCACTTTTTCTAAATTTATTTCCATATAAGTGCTTAACCTTTTTTTTTAAAGATTGTAATTCTAACATGGATCAAAATATATTTTCTAAAATATTATGTTTAAATCCATTTAAAAATTAAATTATTTACTAACTTAGTGCACGCTAATCAAAATATACAATTTTTACTCATTATTTGCATTTAAAATATTTAGAAAATGGGTAAAACATCAGTATCAAAAGAAATCAAAGAAAGAATTATCACCTTGCACCTTGCTGGTGATTCTACAAGAAAAGTTCAGTTGATTCTCAAGAACGTATCACAGTCATGTGTCACTAAAACAATAGCTAAGTGGAAAAAAACAGGTAGCACATTAGATAAAATCAGATCCGGAAGACCCAGAAAAACAACTACCACTGATGATAATAGTATATACAGAATTGCCAGAAAAAATCCTAAGTATAGTGCCAAACAAATTGCTCAAGAAATAAATCTAGCTCTTAAAAATGACAACTCAAGGCAGACAGTAAATAGAAGATTAATTGATCGTAAACTATGCTCGTATACTGCTGCTAGAAAACCAATGCTTAAAAGATCAGATCGACTCAAACGGCTACAATTTTGCAAGAAAATTCTTAAGATGAGTGATAGTGATATAAAAAAAATTGTATTCAGCGACGAATCGAATTATGCAGTCGTTAATCGAAAAAAAAGAGTAACTGTTCGAAGACACCATAATGAGAAGTTTCATAATCGTTTCATTGTACCTCGGTTACAGGGCGGAGGAGGTTCAGTTGGGATCTGGGGTTGTATCACGTATGATGGACCCGGACTACTTGTACACTGGTAGAATGGATCAATACAGATACATTGAGACGCTTGAAAATAATTTGATTCCAACAAGAGACTTATTTTTTGGAGATGAGCCAGAATGGAAATTTCAGCAAGATAATGCCCCTTGTCACAAAGCAAAAACAGTAACAGCTTGGTTTAAAGAAAATAAAATCAATTTACTCCAGTGGCCAGCTAGATTGCCAGATTTAAATCCAATGGAAAATGTATGGTCTGTGCTTGATCGAAAACTGACCAAAGCTCCTGTAACTTCAGCTGAAGAACTACGAAAAAGTTTAAAAGAGTTGTTTGATGGCTTGTCCTTTGAATATTGTCGAAATCTTTTTGAATCTATTAAAAGAAGATGTAGACTTTGCATAGCTAACAAAGGCGGTCACATACCTTATTACCTTGACTTACAGTTTAAAGTGAAAAGTCCTGAGTCTAAACTTATGAACAAGATTTTTATAGATATCTTTTTACATGATTTTGCTATTTTCAAAATAAAATACTTTAAACTTGTTTTTCTTTTCAAGTCTTTTATATATATTAAAGAGAATTTCATAAATAATAAACTGGATTAAAAATAAAATTAAAAACAAAACAAAAAAGGCATTTTTTTAAATCACAAATCACTAAGAAACTATAAGTTTTATTCTGAGTCTAAACTTTTGATCACTAGTGTATTTGTGTTCTGTCGTGACCTCAGACAAAGTGCTTGTTCACTAGCGAGTTACTTTGTATGCATGTTTGTATTTAATAACCAGAAACTTCTTGCATTTTTCATAATAAGTTTTGATGGTTTTAATTTTGATGGTTTTTAATAATTTCATTGAAAATGCTATTATTGTTTGTTTACAAAATAAATTGTAAAATGCTGCTTCAAAAGATAACATTAGAATAAAAAACAAATACATAAAATTAAATTTACAAAAAAAATACATACTTTTTAAATAAAAAATAAGATTGTACTAATAAAATCTATAATATATAATAAACTTTCAAAACTTTGACAATTTAAAAAATATATATTTAAAACAATTACTTTGTAAACAAATAAAAATAGTTTAAAAGATTTACGGCTTTGCAGATGACACTCCGAGAATGAGCCATAGTATGAAAATAATAGTTTGTTTGATAATATTTTCTAAAAACAAATTATGCTAGAAATCTCAAAACTTAACATACTGGAACCAATAGAATTCATTTACTTGTAGATTTTGCAGTTTTTTAGTGTTTGCAAATATTCATTTTAATTCTTGTGCACCAAGATGTTTTGAGAATTTAAGTTTATGTATGTCCGTAAAACAAAAATTTTTTAAATTCATGTAAAATAATTAATTTTATAATTGTTTTATGGACAAATATGGAAACATACATAAACTTAAATGTTCTCAAAACGATTAAAAAATCTGGCCAGTTTTTCACAACTAAATATTATTTCTGTGGTCAGTAATCAAGTGTTTCGCTCCTGCTTCCTGACCAAGCCTGATATTTATACTTTACAAATATTTGTACTTAAAAAACTAAAAATATTTGTAAAAGATTGAAAAAATTTTGTGATAACTTATTATGTTTTATACTTTTAGATACTGGAGTTTTAAATTGTTAGATCACAAACTATTAGCAATAACCTATGCGTTTTTCTTCAGTTCTGTTAATCAAATTAAAACTGTAAAAAAAAGACTGCCTAGGTGGCCTCTACAATATAAACTAAAAGCATAAAGACACCATCCATGTACAAAATAGCACTGTTAATAGTCTGATATTTTACAGTTATTGACATAGATAACAATGAGAATTGCATAATCAAAAAGCATATATATATAAGCATATTATAGGAGATACATGCGAAAATCTATGAGCATTGTCAAGAAGATTCACCATTTAAAGCAGAAAACAATTTAAGACTTACGCAAGAAGCGCACTGTTAGTCAAAGAAATTTTATGCTTACTCTAAAAGACAGAAGCAGTTAACATTTGCCTAAAATAAGTGGGGGTGGGAGGTACATTAAGTACTTTTTAAGAAGGGGGTCAAGTCAGTTAATTATACTTTTATTTCAAATATACAAATTTTTTTACTAACATAAAAATAAAAACTTATTTACTTTAACAATTCCTTTTCCAGATTTAAATTCTTCTTTTTTCTTTTTCATATCAGATTCATATTTATCTTTTTTATCAGCTATCTAAAACATTATTTTTTCACCTTTAATGATTCAAAATCTTTAATGATTCAAAATCTTTAATGACTCAAATTTCACTCAAATAAAAAGTATAGAAGATTAGAATTACCCTTTGTTTTTTCCATGCCATAAATGATTCATATGTTACAGGTGTTAAATTTCCAGTTAGTGCATTTCTCTGAATTATAAAATTAATTACTTGTAGTCATAGTTACTTAAAAACAATTGAGTCATAATATTACTATTAATAAAAAAAAGTTCAATAATGCATAATAGCTGTTTTCCATAGGACAAAATAAATCATGAAATGCAAATTTTTCAGTCATGACAAAACACTGTTTAATTTCCACATATCATTTATTTTTTTACTTGCTACTTTTTCAATATACATGGATACAAACATAAATACAATTTTAAATATAATATATTTAAAAATAGTATTTAATATAATTATTTTTAAGAATGTTTAAAAAAATATATGCTAAACTTTAATAGGAATATCTCTGTGGAAAAACTGTTACTGCAAGAAGCAACATATGGTTCAACTCTGAACAAAGATAAACCTTCTTGTGTAGTGAAACTTTTAGAATTGACATCATTAGTAAATTCATCTTTATTTGATAAATTTATGAATACTTTCCAATTTTCAAGGTATTCACCTTGAATTCTAAGTAAATCAATAAGAACATAAAGTTGAGCATTTTGATTATTGTTGTTGTAAATTGTTGTTGTATCTAATTAAAAAAAACAAGCTTTTGCTTTTTTTTTTGGGATCACATGTTATACTATTTAAAAATGATTGATTTTTGCTCATAACAATCCGCAAAAAGTCAAAATAAATCCCACTTTTTTTCTGCAAAACAATTAATCAGCAAAATAAGCAGAAATTTTTTATGCTTATTGACAAAAAAAAGTTTGCACTAATATTTTGTCTTGTGGAAAACAGTCTTAACTAAAAACATTTTTAATGCAATGTTAAATAACAACTTACTAATTATTGAAAATAATCAACTGAGTAACTAAATATTATTAGGAAATACTTAAGTTTTAATGTTTTTAATAGAAAAATAATAATAATAATAAAACAAACAATAAAATACATTAAAATATAGTTAATAAATACATGCTTAAAAAAAATGTAAAATATTAGAAGAAGTAAATATTATTTTGTTATTTTTGGAACAAATGGCATATATAATGTTGTCTTAAATATATCTTAACGTCTTAAATATAAAATAAATAGTTAGCTATACACAGTGCTTAAAGTGGAGAAAAAAAAGTAAAGGGATGGTATTGGGTATATTAGAAATACCATCCCACCTAATCATTGTTATATATTGAGATTTACTTAAAAGTGATGGTTTATACTTTATAAAAAGGCGATGGGATGGCATCCTATCATATCTTGCCTCACTTTGAGCACTGGCTATACATATATAATATATTATATTGTATAACAAATATTACTAATATATATATATCAGGCTTTCCCAGGAAAGCCGTGCAGTCGCACGCCTTGTTTGTCCACGCATAGAATAAATTTTTCTGACCACGTTTTATTATTATGCGTTTCAAGAATTCGCGCCAAAACAAAGCTAAACGAAAATACCGCAAAAATGCAAGCAATCTTAAAGTAAATAACAGAAATCTGTTTGTGCTTTAAAATAAAAAGTTAATGTATATTATTAAAAAAAAATTTACCTACATTTTATTAATTATTTTTTTAGGGTGGTAGTTATTTTAGCTATGAAAAATCAAATCAATAAGAAAAATCAAATCAAAGAGAAAAAGATTAATGTTTAAAGAAATTAAAAGGACCTTTTAATGTAAATTTGTTTATGACTTCAGTATCAGTCAGTAATACTTTAAAATTCACGATAGAACTATAAACAATTTTTAAATGTTTCGTAAATACATTTAAATGTTTAAGTGTATTGATTTAAATGTTTGAATGTATTGATACGCAAGAAAACACGAAAACGATTGCTGTTTATTAGTAAAATATGTTGTTGTTTTTTTTAAACGAAAGAAAATTTTATTGTCAAACGATTGAGTTAGTTATTTTGCAATCATTAATTGACATTGTGAACGAGTGTTAATATATAATAATGTCCCGAAGGAACTGTTTTCGTAACAATGACAATAGAAGCAATGCAATTATTTTTTTAACTTCTTTCGTAATTACAAAATTATGCAATTGAATAATTTCAACGTAATAAAAGGCGAGCATTGACTCAGTATAATCAGTTTAGAATAAGTAGAGAAAGAACTTTTTTCACATTAAAATTTTGTTATGTTTAAAATCTGAAATAATATATTTAATAATTAAAACAGCAACTTATTTTCTTGTCAAAGTATTGGGGAATAAAGTCATCGCCTTTACATAAACTTTTGTAAAAATAAATGAAAAAGTTTAACCAAATTTGTCTAGCGTAAATAATGAACGTCTTTCCCTTGACTTGCATCAAATTTTGTAGCTAAAAATAGCCCTTAAAAAAGCAAACAAAAACAGTATAAAAAGTTTGAAAAAAATGTTCAAGACTTTTTTTTTTTTAATTTTTTTTTTTTATTATTAAAATATTTTTCTTACATCCAATTTCAATTTTATACTTTGTTTAGACTTCGTTTCCTTTTTTTAATATTATTTTTTATTCTCTGTGAATAATTTCCGCTTTAACACGAAATATTGCCGCGGTCACGTTTTCTGAAAAACTTATTCTATGCGTGGACAAACAAGGCGTGCAAAAACCGCACGCCTTTCCTGGGAAAGCCTGATATATATATATATAAATATATATATATATATATATATATATATATATATATATATATATATATATATATATATATATATATATATATATATATATATATATATCAGGCCTTGTTTTAAAGCGTTACGCCTAGAACGATTTACGTATGCCTTAAGCGAT